GAATAGTGATCTAGGTATTTTGTTAGGTAAAAAGCTGCAAAATAGAATTATAATATGATCTTATTAACATTTATATTTTAAATACTTCTTACAATAAAAAATAATCTAGAAGGACATATCCAAAACTAATAATAATGGTAATCTCACTCTGAGATATGGTGGGATTATGGAAGAACTAGAGGCCCGGTACACGAAAATTATGCACTTGGGAGTGGGGGGGATGGTCCCTCAGCCCAGCCTGTGCCCTCTTGCACAGGAGACCTTGGGGATGTCAGACTGACAGCTTAGGCCTGCTCCCCCGAGCTGGGAGCAGGTCTAAACTGGTAGTCGGACAGCCTTAGTGCTGCCACAGAAGCAGGAGAGGTGCCTGCCACTGCCACTGCCACTGCGCTCGCCAGCCGTGAGCCTGGCTCAGGGATTCTGGCTGAGTGGAGCTCCCCTCATGGCAGCATACTGACCATCAGGGGGCAGTTCTTGCATTGAGCGTCTGCCCCCTGGTGGTCAGTGCGTGTCATAGTGACCGGTCATTTTGCCGTTTGGTCGATTTGCATATTACACTTTTATTATATAGGATTTTTTTCCTGCATTATCTATTTTTGTAATGTCCAATTTTAAAGCAATGACCAAGAAAAAAGAAATTAGGTTTAAGTACAAGATAGCAATAGCATCTCTAGTCATTTGTTCTACTTTGTAATACCATAGTACGTGGTTTCCAAATTCTAAAGGGCATGAAAAGGCAAACACAAATATTGTAAGTCAACATGTAAGTCCATGAGTAGTAGCCAGTCAATTATCTATCTATCTATCTATCTATCTATCTATCTATACTTATTTAGTGTCTTAAATTTACTAATTTGTATTAGAAGACTTATGCTTCTCCTCTTATAAACTTGAATTAAGAACAGAAGGTAATGAGGAAAATGAAGCACAGGGTTCCTCCACTATCTATAGCAGGGGTGGGAAATCATTTGGTCTGACCCTGCCAGCCAAGGCAACCGCAGGCAGGACTCGAAACTCTATAAATCCAGGAGTTTTTTTCATAGCAACATAAATTTATATTAAGTGAATTATGTTAAGCAAATGTTGGTATAAATATCTAAATGGCACTTGGCAAAAAAAGGTTCCCCACCCCTGATCTACAGCATAGCTATTTCTATGCTATAGTTAATACTTAGATATTTTAATCTGTAGCTCCAGTGACAATAGGTGTAGTGTAGCTGGCAGCTCAAACTGAAGTTTATTTTTCTTATTTTATACATGTTAGTAGTTATAGAGTAGCACCATTCTCTAATATGTCATAGCACTTGGACTGACTGAGCTCCTATTTTATTTCTTGTGGTCTCACAGTCTACGACATACTCTAAAGAATGCAAGGTGGAGCAGAAGTAGGGACCGACAGCACCAGTCACAGAAATTTGAAGTCCTTTTCTATAGATACACTGCTGTGCAACCTACACTTAAATCTTACAGAGCAATAATGGTTCTAAAAGGAACTAACAGCATCCCTCCAGCTGTGCCTGGCATCCTCTCTACTCAAATTCTAAAGCAGACTACTATATATGTTTAAGTTGATACGTAGAAGACAGTTGGAGAAAAACTAAGATTGGTTAAGAATCAGTCGATAGACTGAGAAAATGTTTTAATGAATGCTATATATGCCCTCTTGCCAAATCTCCTGAGTGGTACTGATTTTCCAATAGAAGATATCTGGTTAAATATACAATAGCAGAGTCCCTGCTGGTCAAAGCTAGTGAAGCTGTTCTTTTAGCTCAGTGGCAAAGAATGCACACAATATAGTACATGAGAGGCTTGGGACTTGAAATATACTCCTGCCAATTGCTTTTTACTTTGAAGATTTTCTAAATCAATGATTAGCTATCTGCACCGAGAAGGGTATGAAATAGCCTCAAGATGTATATGCAGTCTTTATGTAAAAAATAAGCACAGCTCATATGGCATATTGCTGTTCTCTATTTTAGAACTAGCACAGGAACCATGTGATGTGTTCATTGCTATGGTAACTACATTTCAGTAGTGAACAGGAGAGCAAACAGGCATGTAAAACATGTATAGTTGTCAATATGTAAGTAATTGCTGTCCTGGAGCTGCAGAAACTTAAATTTCCTTGTTGCCTGCACTTATTAGAATGAAATTCTATGCCTTCTATTTTTTAAAAATGAGGTTAATAAATCTTCACTCCGCATAATTCCTACTCCATTCAAGACAACAAATGAGTAGTGTCTTTCATCCCATGGTCTCAGTTATTTCATAGAGCAGCGATTTTCAACCTGTGTGCCGAAAGAATTTTTAAAACATGCAATACCTGACTATTTAATCAGGGGCACTGATCTCTTTTCCCTTAGGTTGTCAAATAAAAAAAAATGACAACAGTCAACACAACAACTGCTGTCCAGTGTGAATAAATAAAAATTGTACCTACTTTTTGTCAGATCGGCAAAAAAATACATGTTCTGGTGTGTCGCAGAATTTTAGCAACTAGTTTGTGTGTGCCATGAGATAAGATTGAAAATAACTTTCATAGAAAATAACAATAATCTATATCTACATAATAAAGAGCCAGAGTCATAACGACCATTACGACCAGGCTCGACCGAACTGGAAGTCAATGCTGGGTTGCCGTAGTGGCCCAGCACTGACTGGGTCCGCTGCGGGCACCCCGACCCACCACTGACTGCCTAGGGGGCTGCAAATCTGGCCCAGAGAGAGGCCTGCAGAGAGAGAGGCAGGGTCTGATCTGTAGCCTCTGTGGCAGCCATTGATCAGAACTTGCCTCTCTTTCTCTCCCGGCCTGGCCAACAGCCGTGCCTCCGTTTCTCACTAGGCCTCCACCAGGGCTGCTGATCAGCCCTGCCTTTCTGATCAGGCCCCATTGATAGGCCCAGAGACGCTGACTGGCATAGAAACTGACCAATCAGAACGAAATTGGCCGGCAGAGGAGGGCAGTTGGGAGAGAGTTCAGGCAGGCAGGGGAGGGCAGTTAGGGGTGATCAGGCAGGCAGAGGCAGTTAGGGGTGATCAGGCCTGCAGGGAAGGGCAGTTAGAGTCTTTAAGAACTGATTGCTGGACTATCCTGATTCTCTACTAGCTATTACAACAAGTCAACCCACATTTACTATGCCCCTATTCAAATCTAATACACACAAGGTAGCCACCAAAGCACGGATCTAGTAATGTTACCACTACAGCTCAAAAACCTCTAGTATCTCCAATATCTTGTTGCTGCAAAGGGGCAACGCCAGGGGGAAGAGCAATTATGAAGCTACTGCAATAAACCAGGCAAGTGGCAACAGCATCATGAACTAGAAGGAAGGCAGTGAGGTGTAAGTAGTAGTCAGATTTTCAATAATTGAGGGCAGATTCCAAAGCCACTCCTGACTGAAGTTAATGTGTGACAATGATTATCAAAGCTTGCTGACTGCAAATCACTGGACATTTATCCTTGACCTAAAATAGCCACTCAAGGTCTATAAACTAAGAATAACAACTACACATCATAAACTTCTTCAAGATGCTCAAAGAATCCAGAAACAGTCTCTTAAATGTACATGGCATTTTTACAGCTATCAAAAGCTCCATTATAATCTCAATGAGTCAACATATAAATTATTTATACCTGTTATATCCATGAAACTACAGGGGAGAAAAGGAAATCTAAACACCTACCCTAATCTCTCCTTTCTCAAACAATATATAATCTATTACATAAACAAAATCACCCACATCCTGTATAATAAAAGGCTAATATGCAAATTGTCCCCTTGACCAGGAGTTCAACCAGGGGGCAGGGCTGGTTGGCCAACCACCCACAACCCCTCCCCCCGGCTGGCCCTTCTCCTGGGCCAGCCCTGACCATGAATGCCCCCCCGATTGGGGGCGGGACTGGCCAGGAACCTCCCACATCCCCTCCCCTTGGCTGGCCTGGCCCGATCGTGGTGGGCCAGCTGGACCCCACCCATACGCAAATTCATCCACCAGGCCTCTAGTAAAAAATAAAAAACCAATGCTGTATAAGAAACAAGTGTTCTATAAACACAGAGGAAAATTGGTGAATGAATGAAGACTTCATGGAGGAAATTGGATCTATCCCTCAAGACACAACATAACCCCATCCTCATATAGTCTAGTTATGAAGATTATACTCTCACTATATGGGGGGTTCCTCGGCCCAGCCTGCACCCCCTCACAATCCAGAACCCCTTGGGGGTTGTCTGCAGGGATCGGGCCTAAACTGGCAGTCGGACATTCCTCTCGCAATCCAGGACCGCTGGTTCCTAAGTATTCACCTGTCTGCCTACCTGATCGCCCCTAACCACTCTGCCTGCTTGCCTGATTGCCCCTAACCACCTCTGCCTGCCTGCCTGTTTGATTGGCCCCAACTGCTCACCTGTCTGCCCGATCCCCCCTAACCGCCTCTGCCTTGGCCCCCGCCGCAGCGGCTTTGTCCAGAAGGACATCCAGAAAGTCGTTCAGCTGTCCAGTCTAATTAGCATATTACACTTTTATTATTATAGATTTTTATATGATTTCAGGACAAAGTACTTTCTCTTTATAGTATTATTCACCTGTTTGTTATGATAAATTAATGACTGTCTTAATTAAATAATGTCTGTCACTAGACACTAAAATTCATGAGGGTAGGGGCCATGTCTGCTCTTTTTCACTAAAGTATCCTCAACATCTGACACACAGTAGACACAATGAATTATTATGAAATAAATGAATAAAAAGGAAGGCAGAAAGTCCAAATTGTCTGCCAAGTTTTCCGGGCTCACGGAAATTTGATATTTATCTACTTAGTTATAACAGGTAACATTTGTTCCAAAAGGCCTGGTTTTATTCATAATTCAAATTCATTTATTTATTTAGAATATAATTACTGAGTGTCTACATATGTAGTAATAGGCAATGTTTAAGGGGTTGGGGACATAGCAGCAAATAAGAAACAAAGTCTTTATCCTTATGGAGCATACTCACACAAACTAGGCTCATTCCTACTTCAGTGGCATAATGAAGCCATTCCTTCTGTGTAAGACATCTTTTTTACTCCTTTGCATCACCTTTCCCATGTTATCCTGAACACTCAATCTGGTGGGATTGCCAGATAAAATACAAGATAAGATGCCCAGTTAAACTTGAATTTCAGATATGCAATGAATAATTTTTAGAATATGAATACTACATGTCCCATCTAATATTCAAATTTAAATGGATATCCTGTATTTCTATTTGTTAAAATTGTCAATCTCATTATCTGGTATTTTCCATTTTCCAAATTTCCATTATAAATTATATTCAGAATTAGAGATCGACAATTATTTTCTTCAGTAGAATTTAAATATTTTTTATTTGATTTTTTTTTAGAGAAAGGTAGAGAGAGAGAGAGAGAGAGAGAGAGAGAGAGAGAAACATTGATTTGTTTTCTACTTATTTATGCATTCATTGGTTGATTCTTGTATGTGCCTTGACCGGGGACTGAATCCACAACCTTGGCATATGGGGATGAAGCTCTAATCATTAAGCAACCTGGCCAAGGCTGTCTTCAGCAGGATTTTTGTTGCTCCATGTTGTAAGCACTTAGCAAATACTTGGTATATGGATTCAGAAATTAAAATTAAAATGAAGATTTATTTACAAAGATGGTTTGCCCAACTGCAATTGTAATACTGAAAAAATTAGAAAGAGTAAAAAAATTAAACAATAGAAGAATAATGAAAATGAATGATGTTATATAGCCACCCAAAATGATAATTGGAAGACAAATTAATGACACTAGAAAATGCTAAAAATATAATAGTGAGTGGGGAAAAAGGATATAAAATTATAATAATAGAAATAATTTCAATTAATTAAAACTTTACATATATAGAACAGTTAGCTATGTTCTTTAAAAATGCCATTTCATGAAAGAGAAAGACCAAGGAACTGTTGCAGATGAAAGGAAATCAGAGCTATGACAAGAAAAGACAATGTATGATCCTGGATTGGACCTTGGAGTAGGAAAACAAAATAGTTAGGAAGGACATTCTTTTTTTTCTTTTTAAAAGATGTTTTTTTAATGATTTTTTAGAGAGAGAGAAACATTGATTGGCTGCCTTCTGCATGCCTCCCACTGGGAATTGAGCTCACAACCCAGGTGCAACCCAGGCATGTGGACGATGCTTAACCAACTAAGCCACACTGTCCTGGGCTAGAAAGTACATTCTTGAGAGAACTAGAAAAATTTGAATATGTACTATGGTTAGGCATATATATGGAAGGGAGGGAGGAAGGGAAGAAGGAAGGGGGAGGAGAGAAAGAAAGAGAGAGAGAGAGCTCAAAGCATAGGGAAGAAATTTAATTATACTGTTCTTATGCCTCTTCTCTAAGTTGGAAATCATTTCAAAATAAAGAGTTAAAACTGTACAGAAAAAAATTGCGAGAAAACAAAATATGTTGATTTTAATGTTTTCTTTGGTGTTTATTTTTCATTTTCTACAATGAGCATGCATTATTATTATAGCTGCACAAATTTTTAAATCACTTAAAGGTACTTTGAAGTACATAATCCACAACTCATTAATCTGTCAAATTATCTATTTTGATGTCCCATATTTATAGAGATCTTATAAACCTCCAAGATAAATTATTTTTAACATTTTATTAAATGATCATTATAAAATAAATTAGAACAATAATTTTCAACTGGTGTGCTTCAAGAACTTTTAAAACATGCAATAACTCTTTAGTCAGGGGCACTGACTTCTTTCTCCCTAGACTGCCAAATAAAAAAATGACAACAAACAACACATAGCTGTCTGGTGTGAATGTCCTGTCTTGAACCATAAATATATAGATTATATAAAAAAAAGTTGCAGCTTACTGGTCACGTCGCATAATAAGGTTGTCTCTGATTGGTTAATTCTTGGTAACAGAAATCTTTATATATAAGAATAGGCTCCTGATTTTTTTAAAAGTCACTTTGGAACAAGAAGGAATAGATAATTACTATTATGTTGTTTTATTCCTGTGTTTTTTTTTTAATCAATCAAAATCATACCTATTTTTTTTTTTTGTCAGACTGACAAAAATATATTTTTTGGTGTGCCACAGGATTTTAGTAATTAGTTTATATGTGCCATGAGATAAAAAACGGTTAAAAACCACTGAATTAAAGACTAAATACATTTTTAGTTACTTTCCTAAGATTTAGAGGTACCATAGGTAAGTAATCAAATCAGTTTGTCCATCTACCCTTCTACTTTTCTACCTTTTTATTGAAGACATTCTATCATCTTATAATACAGGTAATTTTTAAAGGCTTTAACTTGAAATTCATCTAGTTCTGAGCAACCTATCTCACATTACCTACTACACAGAGAGTTATAGGGAATTTGATAATGAAATCAGTGACAACTTAGGGGTATTTACCTGATTGTTAAAAGAAAAAAGGAAAATAAGTGAAAATCCTGAGCTTAGCTCATATATATCTAAGTGAGAGTACCTAAAGAAACAGAGGTGAGAATATTTCTAGAAAAGGCTTTCCCATGCACTTGCTGCACAGTAAATTAACACATTAAAATCACATTTTTAAACACAACCCAGTCTCATAATTCTTCCACTTCCATTTGTTATTTAAAAAATAGCACCAAGTACCATTTAGTTTTGATAACACTGCTTAGGTTTCCATCTTTTTTACCCATTTTGTAGCTGTCTAAATGTCCCCAACAATGAGAAAAAGTTTTGTTAATTTTGTGGTATTCCTTGTGGTACTTTTCTGGGTTTCACATAAGAAATATAAATACTGACTTCAGCATAAAAAATGTGAAGTTTATTTATGAAGTAAATGGAATTCTGAATTCAGAATATCCCTCCTAGAAGAGGTAGGAACTGAAGAGGTCATTTCTGAATTAATACTATGCTGAGAGAAAGAGAATGTATATTTCCTCATGTTGTAAGGAATTAATTTTCTAAAAACTATCAATCCAAGTTGGCTTGGTGCTGTAATAAAGTAATTCTAATTATCAAATTAAAAATTATATCTTAATTTGAATAAATAACTATGATTATTATCCACTCTATTAACCAATGTCTCCGTTTAATAATTTTGTTCAGGTCAATTACTGAAATCATACATTGCTTCAATATTAATTACTCATTATAGCTCAAAAGGAATAGTGCTTTAGCAATAAAACTAGAATGGGAACACCATCTATATTTGGCCTTGAAAATAACGCAAATCCTATGAGCAGTCATACTGCTAAATGAACATTAGAATACCCTTGCAAGAATAAGGGATTAAAAATAAATTTTGATCAGCTCTTGAATACAGAAAAAGGAGATAGATTTAAGTCTTCTGTTTCTTAGGTAGCAAAATTTGATAATAGGGAGCTCAAGTCCCTTGGTCTTCCTTCTCTACACTATGTATTGAAGCCAGAGAAGAAGAGGGCTGAGAAAATGCTTTTGGTAGAAACCAAAGTCCTTGGGTTTATTAAATTAGTACAAAGTTATCACAAAATTGAGGCCCTTAAAATTATTCACATTAGCTGAGATACCCAGTCTGGATCTGAACTCCATATGTGAAAACACATTAGAGATTCCTATTCTGGAAAAAGTTGAGAGGAAAGAGGTTGTGATAAGTAACTGACTATATAAAAGCAAAGTTAACATTCTCAGCAACTTTAGGATACCTAGTGCAGAGCACCGTGCCTGACAACATATATGTACTATAAATAAATTGTCAAATTAAAGCACACTAAATCTCTAAGACAGTACCTTAAACTAAAAGGAAAAAGCTAAAATAAAATTTCAGTTATATTCTTTTAAAAATCTATCACCCAATAATTTTGTTTTTATATTGACTAGTTTACCAAAGCACACAATTTGGGTATTATGAAAATTGTGAAGAACATTTATTCTTTTATATTTATGTCTGTGCTCAAGATCATATAGATTCTATTTTACTTCCTTTGCATTATAACAGAGAAAAGTAAATAAAAATTGGAGTAATCATATCACTGCTTTGTTTTTATATAGCCTTTGTGTTTCTGAAATCATATTCTGAAATCATATATTTTATAAAATATAAAAGTTTTATATTTTACTTAATACTGACAAACCAGAGTATGCCTATTACCACTTTTCAGATGAGAAAATTTAGGGCTAGACAAGTTAAATGGACTTGTCATTGCCACACAGCTTAATTGGCTAACAGATCAGAGGTCCCATGACTTTAATAACCATATCATACTAAAGAGTACTACGTCTAGCATACAGACAAAGCATTAATATGCATCTATACTATTAACTCTTAAGAGGCTGAGTGGAAATGATAAAAATTTGGAAATCTACTGTCCATAGTTGAAACCAGGACCAATGTAAGTGAATAAGCCCCGATGCCATACTTCATGATATTCTACAAACTCAGGAAAGGTGATAACTGGAAACAACTTAAATGTCCATATATAAGAGAGTGATTGAATAAACTATATTACATTCACACAATGGGGTACAATGCAGATATAAAAAAATGAAGATTTCTATGAGCTTTTGTGGAATGATTTCCAAGATATACTTAAGAAGAAAAAAAACCTAAGGTGCAAACAGAACCTATAGTGCCACAGTTCATGTTACAAAGAAGGGGATATAAGATATACAGTTTGCTGCTAATTTGTGCTAATGAAAATAAAGGAATGTGAGCCAGAGCCAGCTCTTCCTCGAAGAGAATACCAGTTAATAAACACAGCAGAAATTATGGAAATAGAAAAATCGCCATTTGGCAAATACCACATTAATTATTGGAGGCAAGAATCATCAATACATGCTAAAAGTATGGGTAAAAATATAATGAAAGAACAAAATTATTACATTCCCTTGTATTTCCCCACAGGATACTTATTAATTAAATTACAAAGGAAAAGATAGTACCTTTAAAGTGCACGAACTGGGTCAACATCTCAACCCAGTGATCAAAGTTAATAATATCACCAGTAAATTGAAATCTTGATATATGAGGAAAGACACAACAGCTTTTATAAATATTCCTGCCAACACAACATTAATTATGAGGAAATATCAGTCAATTCTACATTGAAGGACATTCTACAAAATAAATGACCAGTACTCTTCAAAAGTGTCTAATCATAAAAGACACAGAAAAACTGAGGAATTGTTCCTGATTAAAGAAACTAAGGCAGAAGGATAACTGCATTGGATCTGGATCAGAAAAAGAACATTAGGAGTTTTCCAAATGTGGACATTTTATATAACTATTGTAGAATCAACAAAGCTAAGAAATTACTTATTGATAAATACTATTAACTAATCTACAGAACCTACATAAATGTTGCCAATTTTCCTCCTAATGTCAAAGATGAAAAGCACAGAAAAAAATTGAGCTGAGTCAAAAAACAGATTTTCTAAATATAGACCGAAGCTCCTTCCAGGATCATGTAAATGTACAGGTTTTAGTCGAATTCATAAAATAATTTCAATATTAAGAACATTTTTAAGTGCATTAAAGAACTTCAAATATTAACTCATTACTTTTATATCATGTCAGACTAGACAAATTATACTAAAATAGTCACAAATTTGTAGCACAGTAACTGAAACAATCAAATAAATAAAAAAAAGATTAATTGAAATACTAAATAATGTGAAAAGGCATTATTGCATAACACAGGATTATCTCCCTAGCAATTTAAACCATTTCAAATTATAGGGCTTTTTAGCAATCATGGTTGGTAATTTGGGGATGATTTAAAAACCTTTCATCTTTAGAGAGACAATGTAGTTGGTAAGGGGTGGGGGGGGACATGAAGGGAGTAAGAGAGAAAGGGTATGTTGGTGAGGATCAGAAGAGAAAAAGAGGGAAAGAGAGAGAGAGTTAAGTAGAAAGTAAGGGAGATGCAAAGCACATAGTTAAAGAGCCTTTGGCTCAGAATCCTTCCCGCAGCACATCTTTACAATATTGCACTGACTCTCCCCCTCCCTCTCCCCCTCCCTCTCTCCCTCTCTCTCTCCCCTCTCCCTCTCTCTCTCCCTCTCTCTCTCTCTCTCTCTCTCTCTCTCAATAAGTAAAGTATATCAGAAAGATCCTAAGAAGAAAGTTGAATCCATGAGGTAAGCAGCAATCCGATGATGCCATTGACCCGAAATAAGTGAAATTTCGTTATCCTCAGCAGATAATACAAATATGCCAGAATTTTATAAGAGTGCCATAGTTTTTATTTTTATTTCTTTGGAGGGGTTATGTATCATCTCTGAAAACAGATCTGTCTATATTATAGACTTCTCTTACTGCTTATAGCAAAGAAAGAGAAAATGGAAAGGACTATATGAACAGTATCAGGAGGGTGATGTCCATTTTTCAATGCAAGAAACAAGGCACTTTTTAAAAAAGAGGAATTACCATTTTAGATAGAGCCCTATCCCCCACATTCACGTTGGGAATATCTTGATACTGTTATCGGTAGGAAACTCTCCTCGCCACCATAGGTTGCTGGTGGGAGTGGGCTTCTTGTGATGCCCTGAGAAAAAGAATTTTGACACTTGCACGGGAGGATGAGATATTGTAGAAAGCTTTATTTCTATGGAATTAAATCCGAGTTCCCAAGGTCCCATTTCCCTCTGTCCACCATGGAAGAAGTGTAGCTGTGATTTCAATAGGACTAGAATTAAAGTTATTGTCCAGAGTTTTTGCTCCATGTCGGGGCACAGTCCAACCCAGTATCAGGCTAGTTTAGTTTGTGTTCCCAGTCTTAGTCCATCAGTCCATTGTGGGTGGGGTCCACGAGGCAGCTTGCATTGCCCACCCCCTCTGAACAATGATCTCTGTTCCAAGGTTTGACTGACAGGCAACTTCCTTTACCCCAACTTCACTGCTCAACCGCCCATCTCCTCTTTGTTCAGTCCCTTCCCCTAGTAATCTGTAGGGAATGGAGCTGGGGAGTATGGAATTGCAGCTTCCTGTTGAAGCTGCCCAAATACCCAAGCTGCCCAAATGCTTATTATGTCTGGCCTCCTCTTTTGCCCCTTTCCTATTATTAATAACTAGAGGCCTGGTGCATGAAATTTGTGCACCAGGAGGGTGGGGGTAGGGGCAGTCCCTCAGCCCAGCCTGTATCCTCTCGCAGTCCAGGACCCCTCGCTCCGTACTGTCCGCCTGCTTGCTGCTCCTTAGTGCTGCCGCGGAGACGGGAGAAGCTTTCGCCACTGCCACTGGGCTCGCCAGCCGTGAGCCTGGCTTCTGGTTGAGCAGCTCTCCTGAGGGAGCACACTGACCACCAGGGGGCAGCTCCTGAGTTGAGCATCTGCCCCCTGGTGGTCAGTGCACATCATAGCGACTGGTAGTTCTGGTTGCTCCGCCTTAATGGTTGCTTAGACTTTTATTATATAGACTAGAGGCCCAGTGCATGAAAATCGTGCAGGGGAGGGGGTGTGGGGTGTTGAGGGGGAGACCCTCAGCCTGACCTGCACCCTCTCCAATCGGGGAGCCCTCTCCAATCCGGGACTTTCTGTCTGTCTTTGCAATCATATGAGCAAATTGTCTGAGACCCCCAATCCAGTTTGGTTTGTTGCTCACAGAAAAATAAAGGCTTTTTTTTTTCTTTGCTACATTGGTAGAGATTTCCTGGAAGTTTTAGGATATCTTCCCTTTAATTTTTCCTAGACACTCTGATTTTACTTATGTCTCTCACCTTTGCATTCCCTCCATCCCCAACTGCAACAGTAACTTGCTCCAGGCTCACTTGTGTCTAGCTCTAGGCGATCTGTCTGCCACCAGAACTACGATTCCCAGCATTCCTGGTGCTCCCTGCACTCTGGGCTTCTGCTTCTGGTTCTGGGGCTCTTACCAAAACTACTAACCCCAGAATTCCTGGTGCTCCCCATGCTCTGGGTTTTCCCCGACTGAGAGAGCCACATCCCCACAAGCTGCCAGCTCTCCCACTCTGCTCTGTGTATGCAAATTACCCGCCATCTTTGTTGGGTTAATTTGCATACTCACTCCTCATTGGCTGGTGGATGTGACTAGTGGGCATGGCTTGAGCATAGTGGAGGGATGGTATTTGCATGTTTCTCTTTTATTATATAGGAGGACTAGAGGCCCAGTGCATGAAAATTGTGCACTGGGGGGGGTTGTCCCTCGCTCAGCCTGCACCCTCTCCAATCTGGGACCCCTTGGTCAATGTCTGATCGGGCCTAAACCAGCAGTCAGACATCCCTAACAATCCGGGACTGCTGGCTCCTAACCGCTCGATTGCCTGCCTGCCTGATTGCCCCTAACCGCTTCTGCCTGCCAGCCTGATCACCCCCTAACCGCTGCCCTGCTGGCCTGATCACCCCTAACTGCCCTCCCCTGCTGGCCTGAGAGCCCCTAACTGCCTCTGCCTGCCTGATCACCCCTAACTGCCCTCCCCTGCCAGCCTGATCTCACCCCCAACTGCCCTCCCCTGCTGGCCAATTTGGTTCTGATTGGTCAGTTTCTATGACAGTCAGTGTCAAAAGCTCTGCCTCCTAGGCAGCCATTGGCTCCTCACACTTCACCCAGATTTGGTTCTGATTGGTCAGTTTCTCTGCCAGTCAGCATCTCTGGGCCTATCAATGGGGCCTGATCAGAAAGGCGGGGTTGATCAGCAGCCCCGGTGGAGGCCTGGAGAGAAATGGAGGCGTGGCTGCTAAAGAGAAAGAGAGAGGCAAGTGCTGATCAACAGCTGCCACAGAGGCTAGGGATCAGACTCTGCTTCTCTCTTCAGGCCTCTCTCTGGGCCTGATTTGCAGCCCCCTCAGCAGTCAGTGCTGGGTCACCATGCCTGCAACTGCAACAGTCAGTGCTGGGTCACCACGGCAACCCAGAGCGCTGACTGCAGGACTGACTTCCGGTTAGTTGAGCTTCCGGTCCTGACTCCTGACAGCCCCAGGGTTTTTATATATTAGGATTAGCTAATTACAATGGTATCAATACAGTGAAAAGAAAACCATCTCTTCTGTCAGAATATGGATCTAGTGACAGATCCTAGCTCTCTGAAAATGTTTAGAAATCATGTATCTTAAGGAATTAGATTTGAAAAAAAGATGTAAATATTCAAAGAATTTCTGTGAGGATAAAATGTGCATAGACTTGAGAAAAAAGTATTTCCAAAAATTCAATATAATAACTTACAAAGAACAGAAACTCTCCTAACTAAAGAGAGAATATCTGAATTGAAGATATATGTATGTACAGCACTTATCCATATTGGGCACATATAATTTAAAGATTTACACAGATTTTCATACTGAAATAGCAAATGACTTCCATTAAACAGATGTACAGAAACTGACAAACTACTTCAGATAAAAGTTTATCAATGATTATTTATAATTAGAAGCATTGTTGCTATTTTCAAATTATTCATTTTTATACTGTCTTTTAAAATATAATCAATGGCTATTAGAAAGATTTAACAGTATAAACAACAAATATCAATTAAGTCTCTCCCATTCCAGAAAAGCATGTAAAAGAAGAAAAAAGCTAATCTATTCCATCTGGTTTTGTAAAAAGATGATTAGGGCCCGGCCAGTGTGGCTCAGTGGTTGAGTGCCGACCAGGAGGTCAGGGTTCGATTCCTAGTCAGGGCACATGCCCAGGTTGTGGGCTCCATCCCCAGTAGGGGGCATGCAGGAGGCAGCCAATCAATGATTTTCTCTCATCATTGATGTTTCTCTCTCTCCCTCTCCCTTCCTCTCTGAAATCAATAAAAATATATTTTAAAAAAAAGATGATTAGGATTTACATATAAGGAGATAGAGCCATTATTCAGGTTTAGAAAACTTGGATTCAAATACCCAAAGTCAATTTTATGTTTCTTTCAAAATGTCCTGATGTTTCACGTAGCATTCCTGTTTTAGACTGTACATCACTGTCCTCAACAGCAGCAAAAATGACCACAACAACAAACTTCAGAATTTGTTCATTGTTTTGTAATTCATTCATTGATAAAATAAATATTTTTCAAACAGTTAAAACAACTCAAGAAGGAACCAGGAATTTCAAATTCCCTGGAATGTAGTAGAGATTTTTAACATACTGAATCATCTGTAGGGTCAATAGGTTTAAAACTGATTTCCCTGAAAGAAGATGTACAGTGTGGGAATATTGCCAGCCAAATGACCAGTGAAACAGAGCAATGTATAATCTTTATAAATAGAAATCATCTGTGAGATTCAAAATACTAGGTCCATGAGGGGGAGTTTTATCTAAAATGTATCGTTCTT